ACTGTAATCGGTGCTGAGCAGCTGGCAAAGCCCAGAGCTCATCATATTCGGCAGATGCCCTTGCAGGGAGACCCTGACAGTCTCATCTGTTAGTCTTGGGTCAAAAATATGACCCCAGCTGAAAGAGGGGAGCCCTAGATATTGATTAGCAAGGATTTAAAGGACCCCTAAAAGCACCCAAACCCCTTCACCGTAAAACATTGCAGTTTTGTAAAACTTAAAGGTTTCCATTGCAGGGTTAATATACCTCTTGTGACTTTCTTCCTGACAGCCACTAGATGTGCTTCCAAGAATTGAGTCAAACTCAATTCTCAATCAAATGCTACTCCTAGAGCATCTATCCATCTTCACATTAAAACTACAGGACAACCCATGCCGCCCTAACAGCGTTAAAACCCACTCTTTGGAAGACGGCATTTAACATCCTATCTTTGATAAGGGGTTAAAGAGGTTCAGGGAAAACACTGGACAGCAATATCATGGGCAGAGTAATCAACTCCTCCTGTATCTATATTAGAAATATATATATATATATATATATATATATATATATATATATATTTAGCTCCATACTCAAACTCTAAAGCTCTGTAAAATATTAAGACCCTTAAAAAGTGCATGAAAATAATCAGTCTTATCTAGGACAACATGCAGATCGCCATGTGTGCAAGCTAGTACACTCTGATCCTCCTGGGTGTCACTGATACATTCCAGAAACCTTTCAAAATGTTCTTGTATCAAACCATTGTTGAAGTAAGATAAGTAAATGAGTTGATGTTGATATTGTAAACTTAACAAACAGACATAGTTTGAAAATTTGCTGAAACCAATACTACTTTATTCCCTTGTGATTATCAGATAAATGCATTTAAACATCTTTTATTGAATTAAATAATTTTTGGTGTTTGGAATTGCACAATGTGCAATAATTAGATATCTTAACATTATGTATTTAATTTTTAAAAATCATTCATTTAAAAAGGAATTAATTTAACCCTTTCCCAACATTATACTTCCCCCCCTTTTATAATATTGTAAAGCGCTACGGAATCTGTTGGTGCTTTATATAAATGGCAATAATAATATTAATAATTAGGGTGTGTTATGCCATCCTACGAAAGGAAGGCTTTAACGCTGTTAGTGCAGCATAGCACTCCCTAACGATCATGCCCTCCCTCCAGTCCAAATACTCATCCTCCTCATCGGATCTGAATGGGGGGAGCACCTGACAACTACTCGAACTAGTGAAATGTGGGCTCTATTGGGTTGAGATCACGTGATTGACTTGGCCATTGCAGAACATTCCAATTATTTGCCTTAAAAACTCCTGGGATGCTTTCAAAGTATGTTTTGGCTAATTGTCCATCTGTAAAGTAAAGCACTGTCCAATCAACTTTGCTGAGTTTGGTTGAATCTGAGCAGACAATATATCCCTAGACACTGCTTCTGTCTTCTATCAGATCATCAATAAACACTGGTGGCCCAATGCCTTTTGAAACCATGCATACCTATGCCATCACTCTGCTTCCACTGTGGTTAACAGAATGTACAAAACTGTTGACTTGGCCACTCCTAATGTTCCTGCTATCTCTCTGATGTTTTGTTTTGTTTTTTGCAGCCTAAGGATGGCCTGTTTCACTTGCATTGAGAGGTCCTTTGGCAGCATGTTGTGGGTTCACAGCTACAGCTTACAAATGTGAATGTCACATCTGGAATCAACTCCATACCTTTTACCTGCTTAATATATGAAGAAATAAAAAGGAATAGCCCATACCTGTCTATAAAACAGTTTTTGAGTGTCTACTGTCCAATTACAGAGGGGCTACATATTAAAGAGCTGGGATTCCTAAACCCTTCCTCCAATTTGTCTCTGAATACCCTCAAATTAAAGATGATAGAGATTGCACTTTAAGCCCATATTCATTATTTAACTGTAACTTGAATTTATTTTGGCAAATAGACGGAATACAAAAACTTGTGTCAGTGTAATATATATGTGTATATATATATATATATATATATATATACTGAAAACAATATATATATATATATATATATATATATATATATATATTTATTCTAAGTGCATTATTCTTAGATAATTATGTGATTTTATTCAATATATACTAGGAGATCTGCCTGACAACCTTGGCAAAAAGTCCAGAGAATTTAATTTGCAAGTCCTGTATTTGACACGATATCTTTCCAAACCCCATAAAACATGTACATGGGGAATACTGTTGTACTTATAAGACATCACTGAACACAAATATGACTGTTTTGGAGCAATGAAAACGTATAATGGCGATGAAATCTTCAATGAAAAGGCAGTGTTTGTGTAAAAAATGCAAAAAACAAATCTGAACACTAACTTTGGCCAGGACTTGGGCCTAAATAGCCACTGAAAAGCTAGAATATACCCTATTTTGAATATGCTGGATTGTCCATTTTGCAAATGGCATGCCATGAAGGCAGTCATTTTCGATCCTGGGCTACCGTAACTTCTAAAACGCAAAATAGGCCCAGCAAACCTATCTGACAAGGTTCAGTGTTTAAAAAAAACTAAAATGGGCAAGCCCTATACTTGTACTCACAAGACATTGCTGAACACAAATATGTGGTAAAAGATAACAGGATTATGACAATCACAATTAAAATATTATGCAGAACTTGGAATATAAAAGTTCTTAATTTCTCACACTTTTTTTTAGAATTTATCCATTTTAAATTATGTATCATATATAAATATATTTGATGTGAAATGAAAGCCCTGTTTCTCCTGAACAAAAATAATATATGATAATTGTGGGTGCACTTAATATGAAAGAGGTGAATTATAGAACAGACTCAAAACAGCTCAATTTTTGTTTTGATTCTGAACTTGTACAATTGCCTCCATCCATAAGGGGTTAGCGTCTATCTTAATCTTACTTAATGTAGCAGGGCTATTACCATTATTACATAAATGTACTTTATATTTAAGCAGGTATTTTCTGCACTTAAAGGGATACTCTAAAAACCAAAACCACTATATCTCATTGTAGGGGATATGAAGCAATCCCTCTGTTTTTTTGTCAGACTATTTTAGGTGGTCATCCTATACTGATCCCTCTCTGTTGCATATTTAAAAGTGAGGAAATCTGGTACAGAAGCAGGGTTATTGGAGGATTTGGCCATGTCAAATTTTGGCAGTCATTTCAGCTCATCAAAAGCACTATTAACGTTTTCATCTCTGGTGAACTGACAAAAGCTTCATGTGTCAATCTGGTGCTGCCAAAAGAGTTGGAGTAGCCCACTACTCATGATATAAATTAATAGGTGATCAAGCACACGAGAAATAGCAGGCAAGAAACCATTATTCCCACAAGGTGTTCAGTATATTTCACTCAATGAAGAGTCTTTTTTAGCCTGAGGAAGGCTCTTTATTGAGCTGACATAACACCAATAGTGGACAGGAGAGATGTCATCATCAGTAGAATTTGTTCAACCCTGGGGGTCGCAGGTTTAAATCCTGGCAGAGTTTACTCAGCCCTTCATCCTTCTGAGGTAGAGGGCAAAAGTAACATCCCCAGGATGTACTTGGAAACCAGGATAATCTGAATGTACCTTTCCTGGTTAAATACTTTGTTATTATAATGCTGGAATAAAGTATTCTTGCCGGCTACTTCTTGTGTGCCTAGTCAGGATGCTTCTAACTCCTCATGGATTGTAAACTTGTTTGAGTAAGGCCTTCTTCACCTCTAATATTCTAGAATTGTACAGCACTGCTGAATATGTTGGCGCTATATAACTTGATCTACAGTCAGGTGTCTAAAAACTGATCTGGTCTTCTATACTTATTTGACTCTTGCCCTTTGTAAAGTTAATTTGACAAGAATTACAATGTTGTAATTTCTAAATATTGTTTGGCGCAAATTTTAATCCGTATGAAGATTTAGTATTCATCTCTGCACACCAGATACCCCCAGCAACATTCAGTAGGATGTAGAGTTATTCCTGTGCTGCATCCAAAGCTATTTAAAGACTTTGTTGAGTGCCTGGCCTGCCAATATGCTGTGCAGCTGTGACAAACTAAGTGCTGTCATTTGGCATTTTATTAAGCCAGCACAAATGTTTTACAATACACTTACGGATCCGTTCACTAAGCAGTGAGTTGTGCGAATGAAGTCACACTAGACATGTAAAACTAAGTCAAATTAGCTAAGATAGAAATAATCTTTAACTTTCATTTTCCAACTCAGTCGGTTTGGCCTAGTATGTCAGGTGGATAACAACTCAGCAACATTTGCTTATCAGTATATATATATATTTATTCTACAATATTCCTAGGTCCTAGACTTGTTTTACAATATGCAAATGTTTATCGTCACTCATTTCTAGAGCTTTTTTTTGGTTTGTTATTAATGATATAAACGAGCACAAACCAAGGTTATGCAACAATTAAAATTGAATATTTATATATGGAGTAATTAATAACATATATCAATATTTTTTATTTGGTTGGAACGGGCAAAAGAAAAAAAATAATTTTACATCTCCCTACTATAAAGAAACAGAATTAAAAAAGTAATAAAGAAGGTTATCTTCTTAGCTAATTGTAAATTGTAGGATTGTGCTTCATGTATTATGCTACTCCATTTTTTTACATACCAGTTTTAGTGAATCAACGTGTGAAAATAAAAATATTGATGAATCTATTATTACAGCCTTTTTCTGGTATCTTTGTTATTTTCAGGAAAGTCTTTCCACGGTTAAATTTTCTTCCTCGTTTGCCAATCTATAAATATGGAAGAGCTTGTGTAGATAATAAAACGAAACACAGAGTTCCTCTGATATCTAAGATGCAAGTGTTGGTGAGTTTGTTTCAGCAAGGCCCAACAGCCTTTCTCCTGGAATCCCAGATAGCAGCTCTCTGAAATATGAGTTCAGTTACCAAATATAGATTACTGGAGGAAGAATGACATGGTCCTGTGGGAACAGATGTAAGTTGCAGGCCACATTCACCTCATTTAGTTCCGTGGGGACAAAGCAATCTTTGATGTATAGCTGTACTTTTCATTTTAATAACTGCATTCATCTTTCCATCTCAGACCGCGTGTATTTGAAGGTACGTAAATATGATTTCCGTTCTAATTCAGTTATTTGCGAAATCCACTGTTTATCTGATTTAATGTGAATGTCTTTCTCCTCTCAATGAACATTCAAAAATATGGGTGCTTTCTTTTTATACACATTTTGAAGTAATCATCAAATCTTTATTTTACACGTTTACAATATACTTAAATTCTTATTATAGCTAGAGGTGCAAATGTGATGCATGTATATGAGTAGTTTGATAGAGGCATGACTATATGTGATTATATGCGTCATCAAATCGTTAAATATTTAAATTAACATTATTATTCTGTTAATTGATAATATAATTAGTTACTTGAAATTTCAAGTAGTTCATATCAAATTTCAAACTACATACAATACTTGAAAAGTATTTTTTGAACAGCATTTGTATATGTGTATAAATTATGTTGCACAGTTAAAAAAGTGAATTTCAGATTTATTTTACAAAATATCTAAAATGATTAATTACCTGAAAATTCTTCATTTGCTGTCTAAATACTTAAATTATCTAGCAGCTTAGGTATATTTGTGTAAGTTAACATTTTGAAGACAATTGTAACATTCTCTCATATCTCAAACACTGCATAAATTGTATATATTAATATTCCGTTAGCCATCAGGTAGCCCAACTGCAGTTTTAGAACTACAAATCTCATAAGGCTTTGCCACAAAAGCCTGTGGGGTTTTGTAGTTTCACAACAGCTGAAGTGCCACCTATTGGTTAAAAGCTACTATAGTCAACGTATGTCTTGAAAGATAATTATTCTGACACCTGTGTATGTTTACTTCTAGGAAGAAGGTGGTACACAATCCCAATCAAACACAAAAATCAATCTGTACCTCTAACATTGGTAATGGAGGAATATTCTAAGGAAAGAACGCTGCGAGAGGGCCTTTCAGAAGACGTGTCTGAAGCATCCTCTCATGATTCCTTTTATGATTCCTTATCAGACTTGCATGAGGAGGCCATTGATGGAACTTTCCCTGAACTTTCGTCTTTTCTTAGTCAAGATGAGATCAACAAGAGCCTTGACATTGCCCGTGAAGCTTTTGCTGATTCTAAATATGAGAAACCAATTCAAGAACAATCTTTGCAACCCTCTTCATTGAATCCAGCTGACAGGTCTATTAAAGAGATTAAATTAAGTAATTCATCGTCAAAACATTCTCAAAAAACAGATCGCTCGGTGCTCGTTAATGTTCCTAAAACCCGATGTGGAATCACTAGTGCTTCAGTCAACACAATTGCAGCAGATGTTCGAGATATGATATCACCCCTTCTAATCACAAGTCCAAGCATAATTCGAACTCTGCAAGCTTCAAAAAAATCAGGGAAAGACAAAATTCCAAATCCAAGATCAAAAGCAAAAACAATTCAATGTGATACTGGTTCCCAAAATGACATGTGTAAAAAGGCAGCAAATTTTATTGAAGAACTTTCCGCAATATTTCGGGAAACTAGTAAAACTAGAGATAGGAGGCCAAATGGAGATTCCTCTTCACCTGACAGTGGTTACCTATCTCCCAAAGCAGATAAGCCAACTGATATTAACTGCCTGATTAGTGAAAATGAAGTAGACTTAAAACCAAATATAAAAGCTATGGATGCACCATCTGTAAAAGAACCGGAGAGCAAATTTGAAAAAACAGAGGAGCAAACCAACAAGACTGATGCAGAAGGAACACAAACTCCCATCAGTAAATCATATACCCCTACTTCAGTTGCTAGATTTATTCAGAAGCTCAAAAGCCAAGAAGTTGATGAGGGAAGTAGAGTTCGATTGGAATGTAAAGTGACAGGAAACCCATTGCCTGAGGTTAGGTAAGTTCAAAATGCATAGCAAATGTGTACTGTAATTATATACCTTAAAAATTAATTTATTTCACATACACAATTTTAATTTTTCTCGGAATATATTGTATATATACATAACCATCTTGTTTGCGTAGTCTATTTATTCTCTTCTTCTAAAATATCATTTTTATTTTTGTTGTGCATATTGGTACATTAATTAATGAATTCATTAAATTGTGTTTCTGTATAACTTATTATGAAAGCTGAAAACATAGGACTGGTACCCTACTGTTTAAATAGAACATTTGCAGCTTATTTCATCCACACTATGTACTTTGGTATATTCTATAAACATTTTGAGTGGTTATTTGCATGTTTGTTATTAATGTGCATATGATGCATGACACTTGTATGAAAATTAGTTTATAATAAAAATAGATTGATCACATCAGCAAACATTGAGTTTAGATGAGCTTTCATTCAACTGAACATTAGGCCAAAATTGTAAAAGCTGAAATAATAAAAACAGATGAGTTAGAGACTATGTCCAGCACCTGTCAAAAATTTTGAAATTTGATTATCAGTTGACCCTAACTAGCAGTGAAAAAATGTGTGAGTAAAATATTGGGAAATTATGGACATTTATTAGATCTACACATAAATCAGTTATTCATTTTAGTACTGGAGATTAGTGATAATCCAAACGGTTTGCCGAACGGTTCGCCACGGATGGCGAACATATGCGCTGTTCGGTCCACCCCTATTCGTCATCATTGAGTAAACTTTGACCCTGTACCTCACAGTCAGCAGACACATTCCAGCCAATCAGCAGCAGACCCTCCCTCCCAGACCCTCCACCTCCTGGACAGCTCACTAAGAATGCAGCTTCACAATGAATGTAAAATGGATGCTGTCCAGGAGGTGGGAGGGTCTGGGAGGGAGGGTCTGCTGCTCATTGGCTGGAATGTGTCTGCTGACTGTGAGGTACAGGGTCAAAGTTTACTCAATGATGACATGGGGGCGGACCGAACAGCGCATATGTTCGCCATCCGTGGCGAACCGTTCGGCGAACCGTTCGGGACATCACTACTGGAGATTATAAAGACATATTTTTGCATTTGTGCTATTAAGATAATTTAATAGCACAGTTACATGTTTTAGTTTTTTCAAATTTCACAATATTTTAGTGAAAGCTAGTACAGTGGAAAAAGTAGTTGTGTTAAAGCAGATACCAATTTTGGTTTTGGGGTCATATTCTAGCGTGCAAAAGGAAAAGCCAAACTGTAGCTACTGTATATGAAGTAATAAACCTTTAATGTCTCATGGAGAATGCTCTCCAGGATAACATGGCTTGTGTGAAGTAATGAGCCTGCCTTGGAAATAATGACTCTCAAAACTCAGAAGTCCCAACAGCTGATGATTTCTAAAGCTGGGATTAGTATCTCATTGCTTGTACTGGGGCTTAATATCCTGAGATTTCTTAGAAAACACTCGTGGGCTTTGCATTAGCACTATTAAAGGGTTCATTTGTGAAAAGTATCGGTTGGATGGACGGACTGCCTGACTACTGGGAAATTTAATTAAGAATTTGTGCACTTATACTAGCAACCACAGAAACGAGGCCAGAAACTACATACTGGAGTACAGTCTCATCATAAGATTGTAATATCCACTAAACTTGGACATGATAGTTTGGGTATATATACATATATATTAAATGATTTTTTTTTAAACAGAACTTTAGAATTCAGTTTCTTCCTTTCATTTTGGATGTGTGGTAACTAATTAAATATGTATACAGAGAATTGCATTGCCTTCACTTTAAATTGATAGTTGGTCTCACATTGTCCTCCTTCCCTAAAAGTGCTTAGTCTTCTCTACACCCTACAGCCACCTGCTGCATGGCTAGATAATAGTGCAAGGATGCCAAGTTTAACCACGTCAGGCCAAGAATATATGCTGTCTCAAAGATTATTCACAGAAAGCATGTATGTCGGCAGCAGCAGCTGCTGAGATACTCAAACAGAGATAAAATATGCAGTTTGGTTTAGATGAGCAAAAAACGGGTCGCAAGAGTATTCTGAGAACGGACAGCAGCTGAAATAGCCTGCCCTTCGGTGGGTCCCCGCTCAGAACTCAAGCTGGTTTTAGCTCATCTTGTGCCATTACAGAGAGAACATATCTGAAGCATATCAGACTGGTCCCACCCGTACGGGCAGTCCAGATCTGAAATGCCAGCAAGTTCTCTCTTCAAAAATTTAAACTGTTGTATGAGGATGTGGATCTTAGGGCTGGCTGGATGGCTGACAATTAAAATAAGTGTGTTTTTTGACAAACGTAAACATTGCCATTACCCAGAAACAGCAGTTTTACACTATCTGAGAAAAATACATAATCTTTGCACCTAAACCACTACATTAAGATGAAGTGGGTTTGGTGCTTAGAGTTCCCTTTTATGTAATAAACACAACTAAACCACTTAGTGTTGCTTTAATGTTTTCATGGCAACCAGAAAACTCAGAGGTTTTTTAGTAAACCACTAATTGAATATGATCAAACAGTTTATTGTGGCAAGTTAACAAATTAAATTAATTAATATCCAAGTTATGAAAATATTGCCATTTTGGCCAATTTAATTCAGTTATCTGATCAGTCTCTGAGTTACTATTTAAATGTAGAGCAGTGAAAGTTAATTTTGAATTGTTGAGATACATAGAACATGCCTGTACACAGTTAACCAGCACAAAGACATGAGTACGTCATGGTTACGCTTTTCTCACAAGGTTAAAATACTTCCATTATCTGACTTCAACAAGTCAACAAGCAATTTAACACTTAAACCAAAATCAAGTTATGACAAGCAGCAACCATAAACATATTTTTTACAATTATTGGAAAGAGAGAGAAACAAACCCATTAAATGGAATTTATAAAAATAATTATTATTCAGGTTTTTTTTTTACTCCCTGATCTTGTGTTACTAGGATAATATTACATTTTTTACAATGTTAAAGGGGAAAGAATTAGTTTTCTCATAATTTCATTTACAATGTTGTTGAAAGCTGAAGGAAAATTTACTTTTTAATTTAAAAAAGTAAATACCCTTGTTTAGTGCATCTCCAGGCTTATACTTTTGACCATCTTCAACCCTCCTTGCAAAAAAGCATACATCCCAACATTTCAAACAGACAAAAATGGACAATTTAATTTTAGGGGTGTGAGTGGTGGTATGGCCAGGTGCGAGGCTGATCTGAGATATTTGAGGGGATTAATATTTTTTGGAACTAAAATGTAATTTATAACAAGGATAATGTATCTTATTTAAACAGACTGATTTCTAAACATAAATATTGTGGTTTAAAGACCAATTGCTGGG